AATAAAGATAACAACACATTTCAATTAAATAGATTTATGGAGAACTATTAGAGATCGGGGAGCGATTTTATCTTATGCAAAATAGTTTATAAGTGCCATACATGCATGTACTGTCGGAGCTAAGCTTAATCCTCACCAGTCTAATTTATCTAAAGAACAATGGGTTGCCATTAGATCATTGCAGCGTAAACAAAGGGAGTGTGAGATAATCATAAAACCCTCAGATAAAACTGGAGGAGTATGTGTTTTGGATTATGATCCATATGTAAAAGTGATGGAAAACAAGCTTGGTGAGACTTACTTAGATAAAACTGGAAACCAGGCACCCAAATACATTGAGGTGAAGGAGGACCGTTTGAAGAGGGATTGGGAGATTGTGAGGGATCTGGTGAGTGAGGGAGTAAGAGAAGGATATATCTCAGAGAAGGATGCTATTCTCATGGTTCCAGATAAACCTACTCCAGGTAAACTTTATGGTCTTGTAAAAGATCATAAACCTGTTGAAACCATTTCAAAATTACCTCCCTTGAGAGAGGTTGTATCTGGGTCTGGCTCTAATACAGAGTTTTTGTCAGCATTTGTTGATCATCACCTGAAGGCAGAGGTAAAGAAACTTCCAAGCTATATTGAAGNACCCCCCCCCCTTCCCCCACTGCATACGCCCATAAACTAGTCAATCCTTTCCCAGTCATTCAATACTCTTCAAAAGAGTAAGGTACGGTTTTCTAATTTTTCTTTTAAGTTTTATGTGTTCTGACAATATTCATTTTGAAAAATTCCATTTTACATAAAAAAGATTTTTATTTTTGTTCTCTTCTGTATTTATTATAGTTGCTGTGTTTGTATTTTTTATTTTTATTTTTTGCTTATATCTGTTATATTATAGGACTAACTCCTGATGATGCCAAAGTTTTTGGCGAAAAATATTGAGAAGAAAATGATATAATTCTAGTGCTAGAGAGTAGGGTTGGGATTTGTTTAAAAACGATCTAAAGTTTATATATTGATTAGAATAACTAGTTTTTCTAGAGTGTAGTGGGTTCAGCCATTAATTTTCAAAGAGAAGTATAGTGGTTTATTATTCTTAAAAGCTTCAGGAAAGATTCCAGTAAAACCGTGAGGTCTTTAGGGAACCAAATTGTCCCGGAAAACCTAGCACATGTTCAATACACTTGACCCTACCTAAACTTAGGGTTTCTTGTGAAAATTTCGCCTGTTCTGTTTCGGGAAAAAATGCGAAATTTTCGCGAAATAACGCAAAAACATGGAATTTTTGCGAATATTTTTTCTAACATTAATTAAGAAAAGAGGAAGAGAAATTATTAATTTTGATATAATAAAACTTCTAATGCCGAGCTCTTAGAGCAGACATTTTTTTGCACTATTAATTTCGCAACTTTTTCGAATTTTCGAACATTTTCGCAGTTTTGCACGAAAGTTTTTGTTCGCTGGAAACCCTACCTAAACTAAGGAACTTGGGGCGGGGCTAAACAATAATAAGTCATTGCCTAGACCGTGGAGTATTTAAAGTTCCATCGTTTGTGACTCCAGCAGAAGATAATGATCCCTCGAATCAGCTAAGAGATGAAATTATAAATGGAAAATTGGTTGTAAAAGCAAAATCAGGTAATCAAATATGAAATCTACTAATTTACACATTTTTCAAGATTGGATTTGGCAAGCAGGCTTTCCACAACACTGCATACTCAGTTCAACTACCTTACATAGCCGGTCTACCCCTTTAAAAGATTTAATTCATTTGAATTAGTTAACAACATATTAGCAACTTTATAAATTATACAATTTTGGTTTTCTGACCGATTTAAGCTTTGCCACGGGTTTGTTTTATTTTACAAAAAAAATGAATCGTTGTTGGGGCATTTCATAGATGGACCCAGTAGGTTATTTAATAGACAGCGACAAATATATATATTTAAATATATAAAATAACGATGTATAAAACAGTGATAACCAAAAAAAAATAGACATACGTCTTTAAGACTCAAGTTATTACTTTAAACAGTCCAGCTAACATGGAAAACAGGAAGTATTGTACAGTGTAGCAGACCCATCTAACCTAATATTTCTTTATTTATTTTCGTAAACGTACACAATTTAAATAATTGGTACAATTAAACAGAAGAAAAAAGAACTATAAGAGAATATATCAAAAATGAATTCAAATACAAGAAACAAAATCATACTGTAATTAGGTCGTGCATATAAAATTAATAATATCGTCAATCTCAGCTTGGTCAACTCCATTGATAACAATCTTATTGTTTTTTGCAGAAATTAATTCATTTAAAAATGGAATCCTCCATTCTTCTTCCAAGGGTATTTCTTGAAATATCATACAATTTATTACAATACGTTTGTCGATAATATTAAAATCTTTGTTGCATTTGTCTGCAATATTTCTCAGATTTTTTGCAGTTACTGACCTTTGATCAAATTTTAAAAGATTTATCAAAAGTCTGATACAAATTTTTGAAGAATTTTCTAATGAAGAAATGAATGAAACAAATCTACTGCAGAGCATGGTCATTCAATGAGATGACTGTGACAATGGTTCGATAAAATATCTATGACAAGTGTTTGGTAATTTAAACACAATTCTAACTGCAGTGTTCCAAGACGAATAAATTCTGATCTAATATATTAAAATTATTTGCTTTGTAACAAAATAAAATGCACTTCATGTATTGATCTGATGTCGTCTTTCTATTCCACAGTTTTCTGGTTCTCACTTTATAAAAGTATATAAAAGCAAAATATAACATGTATAATTTTAAAAGCATCTTTCTTCTAAATCTAATGAATTAAAGATTTTTCCTGTAAACTGAACTTATATTTTAAATAACAATTATGTCACTTATAATTCTTATCAGTTATAAGAAGGAACTTCTCAAATATCTAAAGTGGTATGTCAGAGAAAAAGTTTAATGAATGTCAAACTGGAAATTATGTTTTCACACCATTAAAGTAACTGTAAGCGTAATTTTAACGATATGGCATTGCCCAATTTACGATCAATGCTTTGTATGACTTAGATATCATTGTTTATAATTTTGAAAACTCAACTATGAAGTCGCTTGTGAATTATCCGTCAAAACAGTTTTAATAGAAAATTAATGAGCAGAAAATTATTTCAAGGGTACCTTTCTAAATCGGGCATTGCCTTCTTTGCAAGTAAGGTCACTTGAAATTAATCTAAAACTTCAAATTTAATTATTTATTCTTTCCAGGTCCAAACCTGAGATTCTGGTATCTTATGTCAAATTTGTTTCACTTTGATATTGAAATTGTGGACAATCTGAATACTTTTCAATGGAAAAGTTTCTTGTTGGCAAAGGCATGGATACCGAAACCGTAACATTTGTTTTTCAGCATTGAACTTACCACATTACTTATCAAAAATATGAATAATAATATATTGTTCGAAATCAAGAACTAAATGTTAGGATATAAAAGACTGTAATCCTTACATTCTTTTCATTAAAAATTTTAAAGGGAGTGACCGGCTATTTATGGTAGTTGTACTGAGTATGCAGTATTGTGGACAAATTCTTTATGATTCCTTTGAGACATATTAAACGTTTCTATACACGATGTATAATTAATGAGTTTGTGCGCAAAGTCGACTTTCAATTGTTTAATGTGTCTTAAATGAATCCTACAGAATTTGTCCACACTACTACATACTCATGCAACTCATTTACCATACAAAGCTGGTCAATCCCTCACACCTCCCCGGAAGCGATTTTGACCTCGTTGTTACGACCATTTTTCAAATTAGTATATTTACGCGTATGAAACCGAAAGAAAAACTAGTTAGAGAAGACGATGAAATCAAACTCGGTCCCATTCTGAATTGCGGCGTAAAATACCGATGGCGCGCAAGTTCAAAACTTTGAGTTTAAACAAAACAGTGAAGTGGTTGGAACTACTTAATTTTAAATATTTCTTGGTGCATATGAAACGATTCTTGAC